CCGAGAGTTATTCGGGACTGTTATTTTAGAATACATCATCCCAGCACGAACGAGAACATCGAATTGAGTTCACAGAGTCGACATCACGTCGAGGCATTGATATCACCTCTCCTGGCTCCTCTTAATTCGAAGATGGAATGAGACCTTTAAGACATTACTTTCAGTGATCGCTGTTCCCATAAACCTGTAACAGCACCATCAGACTAAGCAGTCACAGGCAACTTCAAGTTTATAACGCTCCGCATGGCACGCTGAAGAGAATGAGAGTGGACATTATTGATAACCGAATGGTTCCGTGACTCTGGCGGAAAGAGAGCGGACAAGTGCTTAAAGACACGAAGAGGCTTGACTCGTTGATAACGTAAGAAACTCAGAAAGTCTTCGGCCCCCCCTTAAAAAGGCAGGCGATTCCCGCCTGCGTAGCGCACGACGCGGTGTCGTTTCGCGGCGCCATTCACCATTGTGGTACACTGCCAGCTCAAATCATCCCCCCAAAAAACCAGTACATAGTTTTTTGTTTATCATATCTAGGCACGGGCTCGCATAGTTATAAACCATTTTTTGACCTTTTTCTGTGTGAGCGACGCGGACGGGAACCACCTTCCTTTTGGGGGGGCCGAAGACTTTTCTGACCCACCTCAAGGGTCCCGACTCCCGGTTTAGACAGAATTCAGCCCCAAATACTTTCTTTTTTCGGAAACGCAGATCTCGACACAAATCTGGCGCTTATAAATTATTTAGAACCGATGCATAACCAAGAAATGACGGTATAAACTCGGAAAAGAATTCAATCCCATCTGTAGCCTTTTGATGTATAGGTCCTTTGAAAAGTGTATGATCCCTTCTGTATTGACTGAGGCCTTTATGGTCGAATGGGTAACAAATGCAACAGGATAAAAGCAGTTATTTTACACATTATGAAAAGTTCGACTACTTATTGCTTGTCTTGGGCGCAGTACGGTACTATACTTCATGCAATACATATTTCAGAGCCCCTCGACATTTACGCAGGTCATCAGCCGTTATGGAGCCACCGGTACGACGACGCAGCGACAAAGCCAATGTAAAGTATCTCAAACTACATAAGAGGCTTGTGCACGATCCGATTGTTATTTGTAAGAGCATGACGAGAGGTGGTGTGAATAAGCGCATTTGAACAGCCTATGCGATGGACCGTATGTGAACATGGGCGAGTGCGAGAGCTTGCATAGTAGTTTACAGCGCTTTTCATAACTACGCGGAATCGCGAAAATCCGTGCGCCACCCACGCCACCTAAAAGATGACACACTCGGTCCCACGACCGTGTTACAAAGATGAAGTGAGATGATCCGAGATTCGGCATGCGTTTGTTAAGGCAGAAAGCCTGATGCAATCTGATCTGAACGTTCGGCAACCAGATACAGCCTGATCCGGGCACTCGGCACTCCGGCAATTGCTTAGATGATAGGATCGTGCGAGTATATTTGTCACGCAATCGGTGGCGAGGCGGCACGAGATTTTTTGCGATTCCGCATAGTTATGAAAACAGCTGTAAAAAAAGTGTATCTCAAACTCAAAGATACATATTTCACTACATGTTCCCAGGTTTTGCTTTGTGCTGCATTTCTGATAAAAACAATTTCTTCCAGTGATTATGTAATAAATGCCTCCGGAGTCGATTTCCGGGCCAGCGACGTGGTCGGTCTCTCAGCTCGGTCTCATAGTCTTGGTCCACGTCCACGATCACCCTGTGAGTTTCCTCTGGTCTTCTAAACGCGCTCTATAGCTTACACTCTCGTCGTCGTCGCTGTCCGCGATGGCGAAGGATGATGGATTCATTAACGGGGCTGCCGACAGCAGCAGCTAGTCCAAATGACTCCCCGGCAGGCATCCATTGTGCGAACCCCGACTGTCGAACGCGCGCCGGCGAGCGGTCCCGTGGCCATCAAAGCTGCCGCGCGTTGCTATGCGGTCATTGCTGCCAGCACGCGGCGAAGGTAGCCGCCGAGGCGGGCGAGCAGCGGCCCGTCTGCAAGGTCCATGCACGTAGGGTGCACACCGGTCACCGTCCTTCGCCAAAGGACCAGCTGCTGCAACCGGCGGAGACGAATAGCTGGACGGGCGGCGGCGACACGCAGGAGCTGCAGGAGCTTTTTGAGAAGCGTGCGAAGCTCGAGCAATCGCTCAAGCGTTCCTTGACTATGGTCGTCTGGTACCGAGTGCGTCCCCCGTCTTTCATTCGAACTTCTCTGACAAGAAAATACGCCTATTAGAATGGCTGTGAGCCACTCCGGCTTGCGCATGAGGTGACGACGTTCCCCCTGTTCCAGCTGCAGGATTTTCCGGAGCTTGTCGGCGAGCTCGGTTTGCAGTCCGCGTCATACGTCGACACGTACAACATCGAGACCGGCCAGTGGGAGCAGCACAAGATTTCCACGGTGCGCAGCGTTGAGCAGGATCAGCGGCTGCTGTACCGCTTGCGCCCCAGTTTACTCGATAGCCTGTCGGACTGTCCATTTCTCGATCAAGAACTTTCGCTCCAGCCTCACCCGATAGCATACCATCTGAAGAGGCAATCGGAGCCCCTGACCCCGTCGCCTTCAGCCAAGCAGGGTCGAGTAATTTCGAACTCACATCCAGTGGTGAGAGACTTATTCAGGAAGATTGGCACTGTGTTTCATTTCTTGTTACGAGCTTGCTTTGACAATTTGTTTTGTGTGAGCTGTGAATGCCGGAAATAACGATACGCAAAAAAGGGGGTGGCGAAATACCATTCCAAGGCGTCGTGTCATTTCGGATTTATTTTCTTTGACTTGTTCACGTTGACTTTTCTCTGTTTCGACGACTCGATACGGAGGGAAAGCTAAGGTGATATATGAAGTCTTTTATTGCTTTAGTTTAAGTTCAAACATATAACAAAAAGCAGATCGAGCTTGAAGCAAGCTACGAAACACAGCTCTAATCTTCTATTCCTACGCGATGGCCACCTAATATTAATTATCATATCCCCAGCGCGCTCCAGCTACACCTGTTTCCGCCAGTCCGGCCATGATGCAACCATGGGAGTCTCCCAATGGCAACCCTGCGGTCGGGAGATGGAGCTTCGCGCCCTCAGGTACGCAGCCAGTGGCCAACCGCGCGAGCTCGAGCACCGCTCCGCAGGGCGACACTGATGGCGGTTCGCCCGGTCGGCGCTGGCCGACGGACTTCTCCGTACATGAGATCACGGAGGGATTCGATGCGATGGGCACCATCCTCAAAGCCGACGCGTCTGCCCGCCAGAGGTCCGCGTTCGAGCATGTCTTTGCGCCGTGCCGCTACGTGAAGAGCACCGTGGGCCGCGCGAAGCTGTACTGGAAGCGTGCGAGCCCGGAGGTGAAGGACCACTTCCTCGCGCTCCCGCGCGGAGACCCACGTGCGCGTTGGATGCACTTCGTGCACCTCATGGACGGGCGCCTTATCATCGAGCTTGGAGAGAAGAAAGATGGTGACGGCGGCGGGAAGGAAAGCGCGGACGAGGAGGAGGCCGCAGTGAACGGTGCGTTGGGCTTTGATCACGCGCAAGTATCTCGTAAGTGTCCTTGAAAAAAAAAAAATCGTCGTGCCGGTTTCTAACTATTTCTTAGAGCCACGATTAAATGGGCAATCGCCCACGAATGTCGCTCCCAATCCGACGTTACCCATGAATCAACCATCCACGCGTGCGAACGAAATGCTGAGACAGCCTTCAGGAATACTCATTCCGAATCCTGGGCCTCCGCATCAGCATTCCCATCCACACCACCCAGGCGTCCCCGCAATGTCCATACCACAAGGGTACACGACTGGTGACTATCGCATTTTCTTCTGTCTGTGCATGGATGTCTGACGAAATCGACATATTTAGATCGAAGCCTGAGTCTGCATCGTTCATCGAGCTCGCTCTCTGGGGCCATCATGACTATGCCCAACCCTTGATCTTGGGCAGCCATTTGATTACGACATTTATCATCACATGTGAAGTTGTATTTTAAGTATTGTTAGAATATGTTAGAATATGACAAACTATCTGAACCGTCCCCGGCTTCTCGACTCAGTTCTGCAGCCAACGTCGTATGACACCGGAGACGGCAAGCAGATAAGAATACTTCGCGACGTCCACTGTAGAGTAGGATCAGCTGCTGTGGTTCCACGTGCCCTATATGCTTACTCTCAACCATATTTACTCCACACTCATACCGTTTGCATTTCCTATCGATACGGTATACTTGCTTACCAGGAATCACGAGGCGTGCCAGAGAGGGACTCGTCCGTTTGCCAACGTACTATATGGATATAAGTCTGTTATGGCAACCCTGAAGTGACTGGACTGGCAAACGCGTAAACATAGAGCAACAACGCGTCTTAGAAGCTAAATGCTTTGGGTTCACACGTGCAACATGCAGCCGACAAATCACCAACGTTTCTCAGTGTTCTATATGGAACAAGATCTACTTTCTCTTCTAAATTCGTGTCATGCTGCTCTTCGCATTGCTGGACAATGCTAGAAGGGTCAGAGCTGACTCAGCTGAGTTGGGACTACAGGTGTGGTCTTCAACAGAGGCTTATGTCCGATTAGTTCAATTGCTAATTTCAATCTGAACCCGCTGCTGTCATTGCTACTATAAATGCAAATTCCAGGGGAGAATAGCTAGAGGAATCCAAGCTCACTACAGCATCAGCAAAACGTTATTTTAATTAAAATGCCTTATTTGACTTGTACAAGGCACTGCAAGGTGGCTAAACCGCATAAGTGCACAAGGCGCTAATGCATGTCGACTTTTACGAGTACTTAGCCCGCTTACTTCCGCTTAGTGTCCATGTTTTAAGTCCGTAAGACTAGAATAAGGGTACGTAAGTGCTCTAATGCATGTCAATTCGGCTAAGCGGAAGATAGTTTTGCTGATGAGAGACTACTGCAATTGCGAGAAATTCTGTTCTTCATGTTGGTTGTAAAGATGAAAAAAAGAATGGTCAAAGTAATCCAGTTGGATCCGCAAAATGGACATATCCGGAATTGAACCGGACACCTCTCGCACATCTTCTTCAGAAGGAAATGCTAAGCGAGCGTGATAAACCAACTACACCATATGCCCTTCAACAGATTTTTAAAACGAGCTTTTTATTGAGCGCAAATCACTGTAAAAACAATCTATTGCAACGGGCCAACTTAGCCCAAAATGGTTGCTGTACTAGACAACCGACTTCTCTGCTACTTAACTTGCTCGAATCCTCTTTCTGCACTGAATCTGCAACAACTCCTCCTCCAAAATGAGCAGGCTCGTCGACCTCCCCACGGACGTGTTGCTGAAAATCCTTGTCCATTGCGATGTGGAGGATGTGCTGCGGGTCGAGACGGCGCGTTTATTATGGCCATCTGTCCGGCAGCGGGACTAAATGGCATTTTTCAGATGTGCAAATTCCTTCAAGACATAGTTGCTACTCGACATCTCTGGCTGACCTACTTGTGCGGTCTTCCCAACGAATGTGCCCCCGACCTTCCTCCGCACGTCTCGCTCGAGTCGCTCAACTGCTCCGGCCTTAAGACGCTGGTCGTTCGTGCCGTGCGCGGAAACAGGAACTGGAAGTCGCCTTCTCCGAAAGCCACCCGCGAAATCAAGGTCCTCGTTAATGATCCGGTAAGAAAGCCTGTCTTGGTCGTCAACGAAGCATCTCTTGTGCCGGGAGGTGACTATTTGGTGGTCGAATGGACAACACGCCCATCAGTCTTGGACGGCTATTTGCAGTTACTTGAAGTATCGAATGGCGAGAAGATCTGGCTGTATCCAGACCCAGACAATTGCTCTGTCTCAAAGTCTCGGAAGCTGTGGGGATATGGTGTAGACCGTATCGCGGAGAACGTCCTGAGAGTCGCTACTGCTGAGACTGATAAGGAAACATATAGGAAATTGTCTGATTTTTCCCCCTTTCATTTCGTAAACAAGCGCACCCTGACATTTTCGTTCTTTAGGATAGCAATCAAAGTTTTTGAGATTGACCTTCGTCAAAGGCGCTCGGAGACGATATACGTTCACCGACTGGGCAATGATCATCTCGGAACGCCACCTCACTTATACTTGCAGGGCGATCACATTGTCCTCGTCGGCTATGAAACAAACCTTAGCTTTTTAAACTGGAAATCGTCTTGTTGCGCGAATCTTGTTTCCGTGAGCTTCGCCGCCATTAGCGACGAGCGCTGTTTCTCATTTATAAACACGTCAGGACGATACCATAAAAGCAAGCCAACTAGTCAGGGGGTTACTGTTTACCGTCCACAGTGCAGCCGGAAGCAATATACTGCGAGTGACGGATGTCCATCAGGCACTTGAAGCCGCATCTGGACAGGAGAGACCACCGCCGCCCATCCACATGTATACTTCACCAGCTGTAACAGCAGAAGACCTCCGACTTGACAGCCGCAACCTGTACGCATTCGACATACAAGCATTTAACGCATTCTGGAGGCAGGAGGGCCATATTTATATATGCCTCTTCGCGTCTTTCTATGGCGATCAGGATTCTAGCATAATGGTTATGACCTACTCCTTCACACCTCAGATGCGGATGTTCGGGATTGGATACAGAGCATCACTTCAACTTGATGGCGACGAACCTCGGCCTGGAATTGTTTCATCCGCGGCCGGGCGTCTTGCTGTTCCGGGGTTGCAGGGACTTTACGGGTCTGACATACATCGGATATTTCGAGATGGGCCAAACGACAGGTTGTGTCGTAAGGTGTTGCCTCGCGGAATCGATTGTTGTGGAATGGATCCGTACAGCGGTGCTATTCTGTGGATAGAAAAGCGTTCTTCGTCGACCGAAGTGGGGATCTCGTATTTTGATTAAGTGAAAGTACTCGCCCGTAACGCCTGTGTTTCGATTCTCGACCATACGCAGGGCGAATGTCGTCGTGGACACAGAGTCCTTTCACTTCCAACTCGAAGCTCAACGAGGATTCGAAAGCCAGACGTTTTTGGATTTTGGATTTTATCGGAGGCACTAGCATGATAATGCTGCTTTTTACAGCTTTTGCGAGCTCAGTTGCTGTACGACATGAATCGTCCTTCAGCTGGCACGACGTATGTCTGCACCCAAAGAGGCAAGATTGCCCTTCTGCCTTCTGGCCTGTTCCAGCGCGCGGGGGGGGGGGGGGGGGGGGGGGGGGGGGGAGGGGTTGCGCACACTGATAAGGTCTTCTAAAAGCGCTGTAAGTTATTTTATGTGTTAAACTCGTTCTTTAGAAATACAAGCAAAAAGCTATAGATGCCTCTTGGCCTTTCTCGCGACGTCGATACCGACAAGCAGCCTGACAAGCCGACAAGTCTCGCCCTCAGTGAAGGACGAATTCACGCACCTGTCGCTGTGCGTGGCCGATATCGCTGTTCGTTATGTGCATGTAATATACTATGCACTCTTCGTATCGGTAATCTTCATGAGCTGCTCCTGTCTCTCTGCCGCTTATTGACTTGGTCGATACTCCGTAGGGAGCTCCCGCTATACACGCGCAGCCCAAGCGCCGAGCGCGTGGGCTCACAGATCATCATGGTCTCTGATACTTTGCTGCTGAATGCGCTGCTGGGACGATGTCAAATCGGAAAGAGGTTTGGGACGGCAAGCGCAGCAGGTGACCTCGTCCCAGTTCGCTTTTCACTGTGCAAACAGCTCAAGTCAACTAGAATTGCTGGAGAACCGAGTCTTCAGTCCTCGAAGTCCAGGTTGTCGATTCGAGGGTTTAGTATACGTTGGTAGAACTTTTCCCTTTCGTTTGTGTTAAGTTCGGGTAAGAGACCACATCGCAAATGTTTTGAATGCAAGTTGTCCGATAGCTCGAGGAAGAGAAGTTCAGGATATTTGAGTTTCGTTTTTGGCATATTCTATTGATTGTGAAATTTACAACTGCAAAAACGAAGTCAGTGGTAAGCACTTCATCGACGGCTTAGTAAGTCATTATATAATTCAGGTGCTAAGCGAGCGTGATAAACCATCTACACCATATGTGCGTTACCTTTTGAATTTGCTTCTTTATCGGGCTCATTTTTGACGGGGACAAAGTCGTGCGATAGCCGACTTTCTTTAACGGCGTCGACAACGCCAACGACAACGACTAGCAGTCTGACATGCGATGGGCAACCGCCGACACGTCTCGCCCTCGGTGAAGGAGAATGTCGCGCGTCTGTCGCTGGATCCGAAGTTGCGCGTGTCTGACATCGCGCTGCAGGCTGGTGTCAGCGAGAACACCGTCCGGCGCACGCTCGACAAGTGGAGGAAGAAGGGGCGCACCACAGAGGTGCGCGCCGCCGCGCCGAAGGGGCGCCCGACGATGTTGGGACAACAGGAACTCGAGGTGCGCTCCATTATTTATTGAAAGCACACAAATCCTCATGCTTGTTTACTTATAACCCGTACCAGTTTCTCGAGCAGCGCGCCCGCGACTCACCGAACATGCCGCTGAGCGATTTGCGCAACGCGCTCCGCGACGAATTCGACGTCGAAATTTCTACGACGACGATCTACCGTACCCTGCGCAAGTTAGGCCTGATAAGCAACACACTGGAGACGACTCCGCCGCAGGAGGAAGCGCACGACGAAGACGAGGCGGAGGCGGCACCGCGGAAGGTCAGTCCCTTTGGACCCGGTACGGACGGGAGTACCTGACAAACGCTACGAGCAGACGTTCGAGGAGCTCAACCAAGAACGTTGCACGCAGTTCCTCGCGCAGGCGCGTGCCCCCGACGTGCGTACACTTGTTTTCGTAGGCGAGATATCCTGCAGGAACAGCCCCCTGCTGGCCCGGGCCCCTTTCTCAGAATTCGAACCCGCCGACAACCCTAGCTGGGGCGAATGGGCTGGCTCACAAAGGTTCCTTCATATCCTCTATTCTATTCAGCTCCGCATTTACACAGAAGTTTGCTCTCTTTCAGACGAGAACCGGTTCTCCTCGCGCTCTCGCACGCCGGGATCCTGGACGTCTCCGTCTCCACGGGCGCAGGGGCGGCATCTACGTTTGTCACGCGCCTGCTCGATGCCATGCGCCCCTTCCCCGCGCCGCACTCCGTGCTCGTGCTCGACTCGACGCGCTCGCGCCTAATCGACGCAATGAAGGATAGCGAGCGCGAGGCTCATGCCCGGTTCGTGTATTCCTTTCTGTCTTTACACGATATTCATGCGTTTTTAATAACGGACAGTGGCATCATCGTCCTTCAGCGCCCTCCCTGTACCCCGGGCCTCAATCCCCTCGAGTGCGCCGGCGCGCTGATTCAGCGTTCTTTCTCATTAATGTCCCGTGGGCCTTCGGCGCACGGCTACAGCATGTCAAACGGACATGCTGCTTTGGACGAGCAGTCTGCAAGCACGGACGACCTGGAGGACTCTATGGACGCGCTGCTTGACTCGCTGAGCACCATCACGCCCGAGCGCGCCCTGCGTTGGCTCAGAAAGTGTGGTTACTGTACCTAGGACTTTTAGACAGCTACTATTAGTGTTATGGATGTTTTCCCGCTCTTTGCCATCGAAGCTGATTACTGCTACAGTAGTTGTAAAATTATGGATAATATTATGGATAGGCAACGTTCCTGCACTGTAAAAGCACGGTTTTCATATCGGTTCATGGTTATTTGTAACTAGTCTCAGACTTGATGTTTAAGGCATCACACGCCGGTAGGAATCATTACGGAAGGGAGCTCTCTGAGAGCATCCCAAAAACCAGGCGAGCATTGATATGCGCGAAAGAGCACCGCTAACTTGCTTGACTCTGCGAAGACAGCCATGATAGAAGAATGTGTCTCATAGCTAGTCAACATAGCCTCAATCCCCGAATTCTGTTTTAGAAGCTGCTGAAGCTACAACCTGTGAGAAGCCCCAGAGATGCCTCGGTTGACAGGGAGAAATTGCTTGACTTGCCATTTTGCGGACCTAGAGAACTCCGCAACAAAAAATGTCCATGTTCGATCGTTTTTTTTACACAATGCAATCTGCTGTGACAGATAGAACTAGAAGCAGTCCAAGAAAAGGGATGATACCTAGAGACTAATCCAGTCGTCTTTCCGAGACGTCCTAAATGTTGCACGAGATGAACAATCAGAACAAATCCCAAACT